GCTACCCAAGGATTCCAAAACCTTCATTCATTGGATTTTTTAAAATGGTTTCATATCCATTTTAAGGAAAACGGTTGGGTGGGCGCGATAAGATAAATGGAAAATATTTTATTTACGATAGATTTCTATAGGAAATAATTGTGTTTACGTTGGCTCGTTTCTCACAAACGGCAAACGAGAAACATAATGCGTGCTACAACACTAAGCCTATTTATTATATTTTGTAGCGGGGGCAGTGATTCAGGCTCTGAAACCACCACCAAAATGCTGCCTGAAGCCAGATATGTGTAGCTTTTTTACAGGTAATTTAGAAACAGGCGCTAAATTTCCATGTCGAAAAACGTAATCATATTATTAATATGATTACGTTTTTCGCTATTAAATAGTCGAGATTAGTATTTTAATTTCAAATAGAGAAATAACACTACCGACGAGATTAGTATTTTTTAAATAGAGAAATAACACTACCGGCGAAATAATTACTGTTTATCTTCATGATTTCTAGTTTAGAGATTTGTCCACCAATGATTCGAATAATTCCATAGTATATAGATAGATAAGGGTTAACATTTTGCCAAGTTGAGTTTGTTAAAACCCAAATGAATATAATTTTTCTTGGCCCTGTTCTGTAGATAGCCCTAGGGATGTGGATATGGTCCACTGTTAGAGTACTTATAATACGTAAATAATAATAAATGAATCTAGGTTAATTTAATTTTAATATTATAGGATATTCGTGGAAATTGTCAAGGAGATCGTTTTCCCCCCTCTTACAAGTAACATTGACAACACCATGAAATGGACCATTTATTCTTCTCTTTGTTATTGATTTGTCTGAATTTGTTTCCTTTTGAGGCACTGTATTTATTTAATAGCTTTTGTCCACAGAAATTACAGCTTGTTTACGGACCACATGATTCTTGATCATTTGTTTATTTAGTTAGTATAAATTTGATTGGTCGTGTAATATATTATGGTCCATTACCAAAGCATCCAATCTCTCCAATGTTTGCCGGGGTTGGGCTACCATACAGTAACCTTTTATTGTTTATGTTGTCCTTATAAACAGCAATTAAAGGTGGCCTCTTTTTGGAAAAATAGCAAACTAGGCCTATTATTAAACAATGTCTATTTTTTTAAAATATTTTTTAAGCATCGCTCATTGGATACGTACAAGAGAGTGATCGCGCATACGGATCGTATTACAAACTGTAGGCATCGTTGCCGACTTCCCGAATTCACGATTTGCATTGAATATTCCACGACGGTGAATGGAAACACGACGAACACTATTAATTATCATTGAGAAATATATAGAGGTATATTGGACATGCATGTCTGCGTCTGTAATGGGAATTGTACGGTATATTTTAGGGAAAATTTGTTATGGCTACATCTTTATAATTATAATATAATTATTGTTACAGATTTTATTATTATTATTATTATTATTATTATTATTATTGTTATTATGATTGTTATTATTATTATTATTATTATTATTATTAAAGTTATTATCCAATCTATAAATCTGTTGATAAAAATAATAATAATTTTGTTAATGAAATACATTGATTTTAATATTAAAATAAGTATTATTATTTTGCCATTTGTGCTGGTATGTAAACACTTCAAACAAGACTTTAAACAGTCAGATCAAAATCACGCGAACCTATAATCTATTGATAAATAAATATTGTTATCATCTACAGAATATACAATGGGTTATGGACCCCTTGGCAAAAACGTGCAATGAGATGGCTATTCCAGAGGGCACCTCAAAGATCGAAAGGTGTATATACCAGGTAAAACAACATGTGAAAAAGCAATGAACACAAAGGCCATTTCCCCATTCTGCTTTATTTCACTTGGCTTCGATGATTAACTGTAAAAGCAGCGTTTATTTATTTTCACAAAAGCTCCACGCAAGGTTATCCGCTTTTAGTGACAGGTTTAAAAGCCGTGCATAAACACGTTTAGCTTTCGTAATTTGCATAGAGCTTAATGTGCGTTAATTTTCCAAACCCTGCTTTTATACAGACATATTAAGACTATATTGATGTAGTATAGGGAGGATCAAGAGAAACGTTTAAGTAGGGGCTATGCGATGTGCAAATACCGATCGCGGGTATGGTGTTGGGAGTGGTAGGTCCCGGCCTTCGATTGTCTTAAAAATCATTACGAATAGGCCTACACTAATTTTTAGGCCTAATTTTTATAGAGCACTGTTAATTCTGAGGAGTTATTATAACTCCCCCTGTGTGGTAGTTATAACCCCCAAAGGGGGAGTTATTTTTTGGGAGTTATTTTAACTCCTTAAATGGTATTAAAGTAACTCCTTAGGGGAGTATTTCGGTTTTTAGTAGGATTACTTTTTAAGAATTAGATTCCATGTCTTTTTTATATAAAGAGGTGTGGTGTTATGGGCATACATAATATATTGGGCCCATACGATTCTTTAATTCAAATATATATAATTTTCATTTTATAGATCTATAGCGTATTTTTCACCAATTTTGTGAACGTTAATGTTAGTCAACACTCGCCCAATAGGCCTACCATTTTGTTTGTTAAATGGATCCCACAAAAGAGCATATATCAAATATTAATACAACTTTAAAAGTGGCTTTCCAAGTACTAAAAAGTTGGAGTAATTGTTTTTAATGTAAACCTATAATGCCGGCCCTAATTTCTTATGATCGCTTTTGGGCTTAAAAATGTTAATGAATATAATGAATAAAAACTGTTACCATTTTACGATGTTTATCAAATACGTTCTATTCTGCATTATCATTACAGCTGATCTTGTTGAAAGCACTGGTTACTACGATTTTAAGGCTCTGAATGATGTATCAAAGTATTTTGTCCTACCAACTTACTGTCAGAAGTCACAAGACCCTCTTTTGACTGTAAGTGACAATTATTATCAGCAGCAGCAACATTATTGATTTTACAATCATCATCATCATCATCATCATCATCTTCACAATCATCATTGTCATTACCATCATTATTATCATCACCATCACCACATCACCTGCTATTGTCATCACCATCAGCATCAACATCATCTTCTTTCTCATCATCATTCAATAATAATAATAATAATAATAATAATAATGATAATAATAAAAATTATTATTATTATTATTATTATTATTAATGATATTATTACTATTATTATTATTACAATTATTATTGTTATTATTATTATTATTATTATACCATCATTTATTTACATATGAAATAATGGCATAATTTATATTTCAACAGGTGAAAAGCAAAATGTCAGATGAAGTAAAGAGAATAAAGCAAATCAGACGTTTCATGTAGGCATGGAGACAACTGCGATACATGGTCACATCAATGCGTCTTCAAACTAACATGTTAAGCAGCAAATATTATCATAATATCAATAAAAAAAAATTTAAAATAGGCACTTATAAGATTAGTTTGCTTTTAGTATTTAAATACAAGGCAATTTATGTCTATGCTTTTAGCATAATAGGCCTATGATTTTTAGTTATTGTTTGATTCCGAAGTCGCTGTATCACATTTTAAGAATTCTAATAATAGATTTAATTAATTGCATTTAACATAAATTTTTGTAACAATAAAATTAATATGAAAATAGTGTGATTTTTTTTAGAGAATATATATTTTAATACTTTTATGATATTGGGATACATCAAGTTTCTAATTTTAATACAATTGAAAATTTACATTTCTTAAAGTAATGTTCGTGATTTGCAAATGAGTTTTAAATAAACTTTATTGAAAAAATAAATTGATATAAATAAATATGGTTCTTCGTTCTTAAACTGTGTACACGCTGTCAACGTTGATTTGTTTATGAAGAAGTGCGCGATCATAAGTTGTTTTCATTGTCTTTTCTTTCTCGATCTTCTCTTTTGTGGTTATTTTACCTGTACAGTAGGCCTATGATACACCAAATTTAATTCAATCCATATTCAAATATAAAAACATGGATAAAAAAATATGTAAACATTTTGTTTTTGTCATTTTATCCAATGGAGTCACAGTGTCCATAAAATATTTAGCAACCTATTGGGTCAGAATTATAAACTGAATTCATTAAAAATTGACGTATTCAACAATGGTACTTCTGGCATGTTTTATGATACCTAACCTAATCTTGCTCCGTTTTCCTTTAACATACAAATTAGGCAAATAGTTGCGTGCTAATTATACAGGCGTGAAACCTGAAATTTGAGCCCATTTTGGAAAGAATCTCATGTGCTTTTATTATTCCATTTTACGGATATTTAATTGCGTTAAAAAGAATCAGGGTGAGGGCGCACTGAAAAGTGAACTTGTGAATTACTAAAAGTCACGAGCTTCAAAACAGGCCTTCAGTCAACAATTGTGTTTACAACAATTCGTTTCACAATCGGCGAACAGAATGAACCGATCAATGCATGCAACAATACTAAGCCTATTTATTATATTGTGTAGTGAAGGTGCCGTGATCCGGGCCCAGCAACCACCACAAAAATGCTGCCTGAAGCCAGATATGTGTAGCTTTTTCACAGGTAATTAAGAAACAGGCACTGAGTTTGATGTTGAAAAACATAATCATTACTCTGGATTATTATTTATTATATAGATAAATAATACTACAGGTGAAATAACAGGCTGTCTTCAGGATTTCCAGCTTATAGATTAGTCCACCAATGACTCGAATAATTCCTTTACATTGTAATATAATTTTTGCCTATTTTTGTCAATTTTAAATTAAATCCCCAACTTTTTTTTATATATCATGTGATCAATGATATAGGGATGTGGATAGGGCAGGCGTGGCGCACGGTTTACACGACGGAGTGTCCGAGATCTCCCACGGGGGTGGGAGGGGAGGCGATGTCTATACGACGAGAGAAAATGGGCGTGGTCGGGCTTATCGGACCCATTCCCCTCCCCCAGCCCCCACTGGTGTTACCCTTAAGATAGGAGCTATAGGTTAGAGAGTTTATAATACGGAGTAGATACACATCTAGGTTATATAGCTCCAAAATGGTTCCATAATCAAGCATCCCATCTATCCGATGCTTGCCGGGATTTGGCACATATAGTAACCTTTTATTTTATTTATGTTGTCCTTATAAACATCAATAAAAGGTGGTCTCTTTTTGGAAAAATAGCAAAGGCCTACGACTAAACAATATTTATTTTCTAATCATTTTATTTAGCATCGCTCATTGGTTACGTACAGGAGAGTGATCGTGCATACGGATCGTATCCACAAACTGTAGGCATCGTCGCCGACTTCCCGAATTCACGTTTTGCTCTGAATATTACTACGACGTTGAATGGAAACACGTCGAACGCTATTATTATTGAGAAATATAAGGAGGTATGCATAGGCCTATAGCCTGGGTCTATAATGGGAATTGTATATTGGGGATAATTAAGGCTCCATCTTTATAATTATAATATAATTATTGTTACAGATATTATTATTATTATTATTGTTATGTTTACATATGGTCCAAAGATAAATAAATAAATAATTATTGTTATCATCTACAGAATTTACAATGGGTTATAGATCCATTGGCAAAAACGTGTCATGTGATGGCTATTCCAGAGGACCGAATGATCGAAAGGTGTATACCAGGTAAAAACAAATTGAAAAAGACCCAATTTCACCCATTCTGCTAGCAAGTGGCCTTGATAATTAGATATTGATTTAGTTTAGGAGAGCATCCACAGAAAAATGTTGGTAGGGGTCATGCGAAGTGCGAATTACCGATCACGTGGTTGAGCTATGGGGGTTTTACAGTAAGACAAAATAAATACGAGTAAACACATTACTACATTTATGGGGCGGGTATCATGTAGTGCTCTAAATTTCTTTTCTCTCTCTGCTCTTCCTCAATCTTTCTTTTCTCTTCTCTGTTTTGAGTGTGTGTATGTGTGTGGTGGGGGGAGGAGTTGGTGCGTGTCAATCCGTCCCTGTAATTCTCTAGAAAATATTATAGGTATGGTTTGAAATGATGATGATGATGATGATAATAATAATAATAATAATAATAATAATAATAATAATAAATAGAATTACTTTGTCTGTTTGTACAACAGAACATAGAGCTTTTACTCATTGCTATAATGAGAAATGAAGTTTAAATAGCAACAAAAAATAAAGTCGTTAATAAAAAAAATCCAAAATACTTACCGGTATAGTACTAAAAAAAATTGCGAAGTAAAAAAAAACAGTGAAAACTAAGTTCACAAAAATGGCGACGTAACATAAGAAACGATATTCATTTTAAAGGAATACCGTTACCTAACCCGGAAAACGTAGGTTTTCAAGAAGTTCGTATTGCTCAACTCGCTGACGATACTGTATTGTTTGTTGGTTGTGACAAAATCATAATTAAGGGTGTGAATATTGTTAAACAATTTTGTAAAGTGTCCGGTATGAGTTTGAATGAGACAAAAACAAAGGCAATGTGGATAGGCAAAAACAAAAATAGAACAGATAAACCAGATAACCTTAATTGGTTAAGTAACCCTATTAAAATATTAGGGATATAGGTTATAATAGCAAAGAATGTGACAAGTTAAATTGGGGATCTAAATTGATGAATTTTGAGACCTAACGTATTTTGGCAAGGTAACTGTACTAAAAAGTTTAGCGTTGTCTAAATTAATCTATAATGCATCCATATTAGGAGTACCGGACTACGTTATTTCTCAAGTAAATAAGTTGTCGTATGAATTTGCATGGAGTGGAAAAAAGGAAAAAATAAAAAGAAAGACATTCATTGGTAATCAAATGAAAGGAGGAATAAGCATGCCAGATTTCTCACTGAACGTAAAAGCTCTTAAAATTGCGTGGGTAAGAAAACTTCTTTCTAGAAAACATAGCAGATGGAAATTGATACCATTATATTATATCAACAGGGTTAGTAGCGGAAATTCAATTTTTGGTATGTCGAATTTAAACTCGGAAAATCGTAAGATATTCCAATGTATACCACCCTTCTACATTAAGGTCATAGAAGCCTGTGTTGATTTTAATCAAAATAATATAGATACAATTAACACATATGAAGAAATCGTTGAACAAAACTTATGGGGTAATACAAATATTACATTTAAGAATACATCAATATATTTTACTAACTGGACCTTATCTGGATTAAATAAAATAAAAGATGTGATAATTTTAAATCATTTTGTGAACCCACTTGAAATCAAAGAAAAGTTAAAAACAAATAGAAACTGGATTTGTGAATACCATACGCTCATAGAGGCAATCCCAAAAGTTTGGATGGATATAATTAAGCAACAGGATAGTTTTAATGTAAACTTGAATGCAAATGAATACACTGCAATCGATCAAATTATGAAAATAAAAACACAAACTTATTTATTTACATTTTGTAAATATAACATTTATTGAACTCTTTAACAAAATAGACAACAATAGCAGTTCTTTTAAAGAACTCATTTTGGGATGTGATTGTAAAAATGAAAAACAAGTTATATTAAATTGCAGCTTACTCAATATATAAAATAAAGATATTTACTGAGAGTTAAAAAAGCCAATTTGTACTAATCCATGGGTAACATTTAAGTAAAGTAAAAAATAGTAAAGGGGTTAAATACAATAGGTGATTTGGAATTATTTATAATTTTGGAGCATTGTTACTACAATGTTGAGATTCAGTTTATATGAGAATAGTTTATTATTAGATCATGATTAGGTGATGATAGTGCATTAATGTTATATTAGTTCTTATGATGGAATATTGATACTACGATCATCCGTACATTACTTTGTCAATTTATGCTACAAGATAGACCATTGTGGATGAATAATATATTGGGTAATTACTAATAATATATATGAAAGGAATATTATGAGATCAAAAATTTAAAAAATCACTAGTCAGCATTTATGGACTGACAAATTTTATCGTTGCGCTGGTATGTGCGCAATGCATGTGAAAAAGTGTAACCTATTTTTGTTTAAGTTCATTTTTGTGACACTATGGTATATTGTCACAAATGAGGAAAAATAAAATTGAAAAAAAAAATGAAATAAAAGTGAGCGAAACCCCCACAAAAGACAATAAAAAAAGATTCGAACTGCGGATCGTCACAAAAAAATGATCATTCATTTGACCATGAAAAACCATTCTGCAAAGTTTCATTTTAATCCATTTATGACTGGAATGTCAGCAATTTAAATGACCCTTAAATTTACACCCTAATGTGGATCGTCCCCAACACATAACAATGTCTTCCTTATAACTTTCCTGAAAGTTTCATTCGGATCAGTTGACCTGTTTTTGAAATATGTAGTATGGGACGTTTTTCTTTGAATGATCTTCATATTCACTCCCTACTTCGGTCGTCTACTAGACTTTGACAAACTATTACAGGAAGTTTCATTTAGACTCGTTGACAACTGTTTAGAGATATTTAGGTCTGTGACGTCAGTAATTTAAATGATCCTCAAATTTACACTCTCAACTTGATCGCTTGATCCCTTTGAACGGCCCTCATATCTACACCCTATTACTCATTTCTTTACTTTCTGTATTTTGTCTTGAATTCCAAATAAAAGCAAACATACAAACATAATCGTTATCGTCATCCTCATCATCATCTTCATCATTATAATCTTGTCATCAACCTCATCGTCTACATCCTCTACTAATAATCAATATCAACATAGACACTTTGTCTTTCGACAGGAAACAAACATGTAGATTACCGTATATTAAGGAACGAATTTTCGATTTAACATCAAGATAACATCATTTATATTCAATTATTATAGCCCAAGTTTTATTAAAGATTTCAATATTAAAGCATCATGTTATAATTTTATAGTCAAATGTGTACTTAAAAATTACCGACATATCAGTAATTTTGAAATTCACATTATTAATTTTATAGCATAATGCAAATAAGGATAATTACTGGTTTTATCTCATTATGGTTTGTACTAATCAGATGAAGCGCAGTTCAGTGGGCAGGTAACATTTGCAGGCGATAGGCTTTGTAACGTGTGGACGTTTCCTCTGAAAACCAAGTCGTTAGATGGCATGTTTACAAGTACGGTAACGGCGGATGAATGTATTCCAGTTACTTCAAGTTATACCGGTACAGACTCACAAGGAGGGTCAAAAAGTTAGTAGGCTTACTTTTTTAAGGATCATATTTTATGTTCCATACATATTGTATTTGGGCTCCATGTACTTCTTTAATTCAAATATATATGTATATATATATATATATATATATATATATATATCCTAAAAAGGTATCGATTTTCATTCGAAGGGGGTAGGGAAGGAGGATAAATGAAGAATAGCTTACGCATAAATTTGAGTGTATTTTGATATGACGAAAAACCACCCCTTTGGAGTCAGTTGCATAGACATTTTGTGTAGGCCTAGGCCTGTAATTGTATTCATATGATCACTGTGAATAATATACTGTAATCAGTACATAATTTACTTCAAGCTGTATACGCAGTATAGACGAATATTATAATTAATAATTTAGTAAGATTGTGAATATTGTTTCTTAGTAAGATCATCAATTCAAGAAATACCAGCACAATGGAAAACAATACCTGAACTATGTGTCTTTCCAAGAAATAGACTTGTTCCTATCCAGGGTTGTTTGTAGTCTGAGTGACTGGTCACGTCGTAAAATACAAAAATACCATCACATAACTTAAAACGATAAACAACAGTTAATCTTAACTCAATATAACGGAAACACCTACCAGTATTTAATTATCAACGTGTACTACCGTGTGCTTACTTAGGAATTAAAAGTTACTTAAAGAAAGGACTGTCTCTTATACACATCTAGATGTGTATAAGAGACAGCATATATATATATGTATATAATTTTCATCTTATAGAATTATAGCTTCTTTTTTTCAAATTTTATGAACTTCATTTTCAGTCAACACTCACACAATTATACTTTTTCGTTTGTTAAATGGATCCCACAAAGAAAAAAGTGGCCCTTCAATATAGGCCTACTATAGTGTATCACAGTGCGTCGTCACAACACCAGGTGGCGACCTCTGGGCGTTGGTTACCAGGTTGGTTACCGTTCATATACGCCTAAATGATTTCATAATGTTAATGGTATAGAATAGACTTTCTGGCATTTTAAAATCAAACTGTACTAAAAACACAAAGGCTCGCATTATGTTAGTTATCGAACACACATTTAATCATCAATTAAAATTTAAAAAGAAAAATTAAGATACAACTTCGTAATAATTACGTTAGAAATGGGATCTATGGTTTGTCGGTGGAGAAAATGGCGTCGGTTGAATTCATTTTATGTCACCGACACCAACAGAGTAGTATCATGTGGTATCGTGACGTAACACTGTAGTACTTTATAGAGTTGGAGTAATTGTTTTTAAATGTAAAAATAATTTCCTAAAATGAGGCCATAGATTTTTAAAGCTTTGAGGCTTATCTAATTAATGAAATTAGTAATGAATACTCTTGCCTTTTTTACACTGTGTTAAAAATACATCCTATTTTGTATTACCATTGCAGCTTATGTTGTTGAAGGTACTGGTTACTACGATTTTAAGTCGCTGAATGATGTATCAAAGTATTTTGTCTTACCACCTTACTGTCAGAAGATTGAAGACCCGCTTTTTACTGTAAGTCACCATTATTATCATCAGCAACATTATCATAATATTACCATCATCATAATCATCATGAACTTTACAATCATCATTATTATTATTATTATTATTATTATTATTATTATTATTATTATTATTATTATTATTATTATTTATATTTCAACAGATGAAAAGAAAAGTGTCAAATGAAGTAAAGAGGATAAAGCAAATCAGACGTTTCCTGTAGCCATTGAAAAAACTACGCCTATATGGTCACATCAGACTGTGTTTCTTCAAACCAGCATATCAATTAAATTTATGAAGACTAAAAATAATGTTTATTGGAGCAAAAAATTAGCTTGTTTTTAGCGCATAAATACAGACCCGGTATATGCCTAAATGCTTTTAGCAGTACACTTTTAGTCAAAGTTTGATTTACAATTCGCTGTATCATCATAACATTTTAAGAATTCTAATAATAGATTTAATTAATTTCATTTTAACTAACAATAATTCTATTAATAATGAAATTAATCTGACAATTATACAATTGAAAATGCATATATATTTCTTTAAAGTAATTTTCTTAATTAATGTAAAAGTTAATTTTAAATTAATATTTTTTTTATAAAAAAATAAGTCAATGTGAGTACATATAGGTCTTCCTTCTCAACTGTGCACGCTGTCAACGCTGATAAATGAAGAAGCACTCCATCACAAGTGGTCTTCATTGTTTTTTTTCCTCCTCGATTTTCTTTTCTGTTACTTTATCGTAGGCCTATTCTACACCGAATTTTATTGAAATTAATGATAAAATAAATTGATGTGGATAGATCCATATGCAAATGTAATGCTTTCGGTGTGTAGATATATGAATTACCAGGGAACAGTGAAATTACTCATGGCATGATACGACGTCAATCATAATAGAGAGCATGCGCAAAGCAATTTTAACTAGTTTTAAATTGTTTATCAGTTGATCATGATAAGAACGGCGGTGTCGCGGGTTATAACTTTAATGTTCGGTTCGAGATGTTTCCATGTAATTTCACTGTTCCCTGAGATTACTCTAAGTTTGATGATAGTGTCGTTGCTCCTGGTTCTCTTCGGTTTTCATAAATTCTTTAGACGGTTTAGTGTTTCGATGCTAATGAATCATAGTGCATGTCAACTTATTAATTCAAATTTAAATTCAAATTCAGATTCAAATTTATTTATTCATCATAAAACTGTTAAACTACTTGAACAAAGTACTTATAAAATGATAGAAAGTAAAACCAAGAAGCTATTTGAGTTTATTTGGCGTTTCCTTTTCATTCATTTCCAATTCACTAGTATTTTACTTGAATTTTTATGTGTTTCGAGAATGAATAAAATTTACTTGGTCTGAGTATGAGCAATTGAATTATGTTAATAACATTTTAAATCGTTTTTCAGAGTTGATCATAATCTATTCTTGGAGCTTATTACTATCATAGATAAGGATGTGGGTGTGAGCCACCGTAGAGCGTTTATTAGCCACCACAACAATGTCGGCCAAAAATAGGCTACCAACCTATATATTAGTAATTATTCTTCCAAAATCATTTGATTTCAGAATTTTGGAGAATTTATTCATAAACGCAGCCTTGGTTCACGTCTTTATGTAGGCCTATTTGAAAAAGGTCAGCTAATTGAACCAAATTGAAAGCAAATCTTAATCTTCTTAACAGAAACATAGTCTATTAATAATTCTCCATTGATAGACTACCACATTCAAAAAGTTTCTGCACTTAAAGATTGATGCCGATTGAGAATAACGTGTACCTAATGTCGATTAATAATTATAGCGTAGGCCTGTGACCTAATTATATTGATAATAACATGTCCATTGAGCATCAGCATGACGAAACTCAATTGAAGTCAATCAATGGAAATAACTTGAATAGCGCCAAATTTCATCACATGAAGTACCGTAATGTTTAGTGGCGCTGAATGACGATGGTATATGTACAGGGTGCACACAATTGTTGATCTCGTTATATTACATAAGTTAAAAATGCATTTTTCTTTAACAACGACAAAAATAATGATGTTAATAAATGATATTACTGTATTGTTATTATTATTATTATTATTATTATTATTATTATTATTATTATTATTATTAATAATAAAAATAATAATTAAATAATAATAATAATAATAATAATTGTAGTATCAGCATTGTTGATTGCTGTTATTCTGATGGAAATGCTTTGCAGAAATGTATGATTTCAGTTTCTTTTTGAAAATGGTAACATTTTATTGCAGTTTTTACGTGAAAAGGAATTGTGTTCCATTAAACAGGAGCTAGCTGCACATGGAAGTGATCGTCTATAATACGTATTGAGTTTTCACTTGTGAACATAAAGAAGTAGGCCTAGTTATTGAGAAGACCTCAGGTTACGAGAAGTCGTTTGAAGCAGATTCAGATTAGAGATGTGTTGAGGTGGAGGGACATGCAGAGCTTTATATGTGATTAATATAGGATTTTCATTGCAATGTGTAACAGGTAACCAGCGCAGTTCTCCGAGAATCGGAGTGATGTCTAGTAAAATCTCAGTTCGGATGATGAGTCTTGCTGCGGTGTTCTGTGTAATTTTAAGATGGTGTAGACTTTTTATCTGGAAGACCGACCGGAAGAGTATTGCAGTCTGGCACAAAAAACAGCCTCGGTTGGAATGTATTTTCTAACATGTCTTATTAGTGGCGGATCCAGCGGGGGACCATGAGGGCCCGTGCCCCCCACCTCCTGTCAGTCAAACCGAAAAATAAAAAAGAGGTAGAAAAATTTTACTTAAAGAGAGGAAAGAGGAAAAAAGGAGTGCACCCATGAGTTCAGTGGTGATCCAACAGTAGGTGAAAGGAGAGCTCGATTATTTACCACTTATTTACACCAGCCCTGGACTTCATTTTGTTCCCCCAAACCCGTCAGAAATTCTCTGGATCCGCCCCTGATTATTTTTCGTAGATGGTAGTGAATTGAACAGCATGTGGTGGCGATATGTTGCTTAAATTCAAATGTGTTGTCAAATGTCACACCGATGTTCCTACTGGATTTTACAGCATTGATGTTAAAGTTGCAAGATCCAATGTTGATGTATAGGCAAGGTGGACAAATCAAACTTAAAGTAAATGAAGAGGTCTTCAGTGTTTAATTCGTTAAGTTGGAGATTATTTGCTGACAACCAGTCCTTTATCATTGTGATACATCTTTCCATTGATGAAATTATCGAAAGTGCATTTGACTTACTGAAGTTAAATACAGCTGTGTGTCGTCCACATTATTGATGAAAGTTAGTGTTATTATATTGTATTAATTCTCCAGAGGTGACATGTAAATGGTGATCCTTGCAGTACACCATAACTCATGAGCTTCGATTCAAACTTGGTTCCATTGATAGTGATATTTGATGTCTGTTTGAGAGGTGACTTGAACCGTGGACCTTTTAATAGGTCCATGCTTGAACCATGCAAGAGCGTTCCCGTTAATTCCAAGAATCATCAACCTCAGAAGGTGTACATCATGATCAACTATGTCGAAAGCTGCTGAAAAATCTAACATGATCAATAAGACACATTCACCGAAATCCAGAGACAGGATATCGTTGTGTACTTTCAAAAGTGCTGTTTCCGTGCTGCGAAAATTTCTACATCCAGACTGTAAAGGCTCAAGCAAGGCGTTGGTGGTATGTATTCACTCATTCTTCTTGCAACAGCTTTTTTAATGAAATTGAGACGTACGAAAGGTTTGAGATAGGCATGCAGTTTCTCAGACATTCTTGATTAAGTGAAGGTTTCTTCAATATGGGTGTGACAACAGCAATCTTTAATGGTTGACAGACCATACTTGACTCTAAGGAAAGAATAGTCATTTTGGTGATGAAATAAGTTGGTTAAGCAAAGTTTGACAACGGTAGCGGAACAGGGATCAAGCATACATTTCTTGCTGGTTGATAATTCCTCCAGTGGTTGAATCATTATAATGATTTTCTGCATTTCATCAAAATCAATTAGTTAAAAATTACCTTATGTTTCAACAGGTGTTGATACCAAAATCAAAGGGGACATAGGTTTGTTTCAATCATCTAATTGTGTACGAGTGTCAGATATTTTTTTTTTCGTGAAATTAACTACTGAACTGCATGGTCACATAGATCATGGGGACGTCTTATTTTGAAGGAAGGTTGACTGTACCAGGACGACTCAGTTGAAACGATTTTGAAGAGTGATTTTTGGTCATTTGAATTCTTCTTAATCAAACCATAAAAGTACTTTATGTTATGTTTCGCATCTGACAAAGCAATGTGTCTGTTAACATCAACATTTTTTTACGCCATTTTTTTTTCTGCACATCGCCTATGTTTCTTTGCTGTTTCGGTGAAAAGTGTAATGATCAGTGTTTAGTGGAGCATTATCAATTAGAGCAGTCAGTGTTGTGTTGTATACCGCGACTGATGATTTAAGAGTGTCAGATGAGACAGCTGATTCAATGAGAGAGTCAATATCTTCTATTAAGTTATGTAAAGGTATTTAAAAATATGCGACGAAGTGAACTGGTTTTTCGCGCGAGGATGGTTTCATAAGACCAAGTTCTGTAATATCAGGGTAGTGATCAGTGTAGTTGAAATGTAGTCAAATTACACACAGACATTGAAGAAATCAGCCCATCATAGCAAAGTATCAGGATCGAGTATATGTCGGGACTCATCGCATGCATATGAATTTGTAAGAGCCAAAAACAGCACCTAACAGAACAGATTAATTCTTGCTTTCTAGCGCGTATCATTCAATGTTTCCTGTGCGAGTTCAACGCGTGATGTAGGCCACGTAGTGAACCGGCGAACGCTTGCATTCATTTCACTGTAACATGTGAATTTTGAGGGAAGCAAAATTTTAACTGCAAACCTAATTATATTTACTTGATGAGAATTTACTAATCATAAGCTTTCCATTCATACTGTATATTTCATGAAGTAAAAAGAGCAATAGAAAGGGTCTAAGTTATCAAACAAACACCAGACACTCCAGTCTTTCAATGATTCCTGTGCGAGTTCAGCGCGTGATGTAGGCTACGTAGTGAACCGGCGAACGCTTGCATTCATTTCACTGTAACATGTGAATTTTGAGGGAAGCAAAATTGTAACTGCAAACCTAATTATATTTACATTATGAGAATCTACTAATCATAAGCTTTCCATTCATATATTTCATGAAGTAAACAGAGCATAGAAAGGGTCTAAATTATCAAACAAAC